ATAGGTTGATGTATATTAATTAGCTCCGAAATATACGCTTTAAACTATTCTAATATAATATAATATAATATAATATAATATAATATAATATAATATAATATAATATAATATAATATAATATAATAAAAGTTAAACACTTGTGACATTCTTTCATACTACAAATGTATTAATTCATTTTCCATCTGCTTAATACCTTATTTATCAGAGTTCGCCACAGCAGAATGAACCGCCTACTATTCCGGCATATATTTAATAAATTGGATGCCATTACAGCAGCAACTCAGAACTGGGAAACATTCAAACACTCCATCATTCACACACGTACACTACGGCCAATTTAGTTCATCCAGTTCACCTGTAGGGGAATTACCAACCTACATTACACAGGTTCAACCGCGGTTGCAAAAAAGGCCAGTTGCAATAGCAAACATGTCAAAAGTCCAATCAAATGTCCAAAAAATAGAAAACTTAAATTTTACCGTACACCACACTGCTTTTAATGCTAACTGCAGATGTCTTTGGCTAACAGCCATCAGAAGAGCTGAATTGAATGCGGACCCAATTAAAAATGATCTCATTTTATATCAGGTAAGTTCACGCAATGCTGAATCAAACCCAGTACTAATTTTTAATTGCAGCAATGGTTTCAGCAAAAACTAAATATGGTGAATTTAATTGCGGACACTGAATGCTTAGAATGAAATGTAAAAATCTAAGATGACTGTACAGGTGCAGTTCGCTGTCAGAATGCAGTTGTTTTGATTGTTGATGATTACCCAGGCCCTGTACATTTCCGTCTTCTTTCCTTGTCTTTGGCTAGGCAGAACCTCGGTTTTTAGCACTAAATAGTTTTAAATCTGGTAATAATGGAACATTATTTCTTGCACAAGACCACACAGAACAAAACTGTTGGCATCCAAAGACTTGCAAGCCTTTAACTTCTCTCTTGTAAATTCAGGTGGAGTTTCAATGAGATAGTTGTATATTTGGGGCTGGATGCTTGGCCATTTTGTCTTATCCAATATCCATTGGGAGGGGGCTATCGCAAATGGACCTGTCAGACAAACTTTAAATGCTAGTGCTCCCGTTTTTTTTTCTACAACCTCGCTGCGTGCACATCCTGAATGTTTACAAACCAGTAATTCATCTTTAGCACATGTTGTTGGACTGAGGGGGAAACCAGAGCCTCCGGAGGAAAACCCACGCCAACGCGGTGAGAACATGTAAACTCCACACAGAAATGTCAACTGGGCCAGTAGGGACTCAAACCAGCGACCTTCTTGTTTCTAGATCTTCTTGATGTGCGGCAACAGGGCAAATCACTGATATTACAAATAGTAAAACTAAATATTTTTTATATTTGTTTGCATATTTATTTCCAATAAAATGCACCCCAGGCTGGAACATAAATGTGGCTACTGGCTATAATAAAAAAAAAACGCCCAAAAATGACCCACAGAAACAAACACTTATGGCAGGAAACACCGGCATTCTGTCCATGTTCAACAGCCAGAGAAGGAATGGTGATGAATGGATGTAGATAAGACTCAGAAAACAGGACGAAAAAGAGAGAGAGAGAAAGCGATAGAGTCAGAGGGCTCGATGTGCCAAAAGCTTGACAGCCGTTTCATCACAGATTGTTAAGTTAATTGATATGACAGGCATTTTTTTTTTCGGGCTGTTTAGTCCAGACACGACAGAGCGAATCAGACGATAAGGATCTACATGCACCTGGTCACAGAGAGCGGTCAGTGAACTCTGCTTTTTTTCACACTGTACTTTAGGCCTGCATGATAGTGGAAATAAAACAGACATTGCAACATTTTTGTTGTCTGCGTCATAGAGATGAAGTCAGAATTATTAACCCTCCTGAATTATCAGCCCCTTGTATATTTTTCCCCCAATTTTTGTTTAACAGAGAGAAGATTTCTAAACACATTTTAAACATAATAATTATAATAGTTTTAATAATTAATTTTTAATAACGGATTTATTTTATCTTTGCAATGATGGCAGTACATAATATTTTACTAGATGTTTTTTAAGACACTTCTATACAGCTTAAAGTGACATTTAAAGGCTTAACTATATTAATTAGGTAAGTTATTGTAATTAGGCAAGTTATTGTATAACAGTGGTTTGTTTTGTAGACCAGTGGTTCTGAACCTTTTTATCACTGCAGACTAAGGGTGTCACGATCCTCCAAATCCTTGATTCGATTACATTTTCGATTCTAAAGGCACGATTTGATTCGATTTTCGATTATGAATAATTAATTAATTAATGAACAATCAATTATTTGTAGCCTACCGTTTAAACTACCTGACCTGCATGGTCTTTGTTTTACCCATAAACAAATCATACAGCAAATGAATAAAGGCAAGATACACACATAATTACCACCTGTCAATCACTTTTTTCTGCGGGACTCCTGAATAGGCAGTGATCTGTGTCGTTATAATAGCGTCGGTAAAAAAAGACGCACAACCAACAGGAACCAGCCAACAGTATCTGAGGTGTTCGCTAAAATGACTAAGTACAAGTGAGTGAAAGATTGAAGCAGTCCTCTGACTGCCTGGACCTGCTGTCTCGAGCGCATGGCTGTGTCTGTGTGGTCACGTGATGTGCATTTTCAGAGGCAGAGAGGAAGGAGGGCTGCTCAGAAATGCTACACGCCACTGTGGATGTCAAATCGTTGTCGTTCTAAAATGCCATTTAAAAACAAAGACAGTGTAAACAGGGCCTGAGTGTGTACTTTTCGCGAGCGGATTTGCAACGGGGGCGGGCAGAGGATCGCGATGCCGGTGTTGTCTATCGGACGAACCGTACGTAATACGTACATAGCAGAGCTTGCAAAACTGTGTTTTTTTTTGTCGACAACACGAACGTTGTCAACATAACTCACTGGAAATCCAAAATGCTTACACACCGGCGACTTCATTGGAAGAGGAGAGGGTTTAAGTTCTGTCGACGGGTCTCCTGCTTCTGCAGTTTAATAAGCACTTCAACAAGCCTGTTTTTTTCCCGCTTGGCAAGCCAAGCTGACGTGACATGGGGGCGTGGCAGCATCGACAATTCTATTTTTTGATTCGATAATCGAAATTAAGCATAAAAATCGATCGATTTCGTGGCACTTCTACTGCAGACCATACCTGTCAACCCTCCCATTTTTCCCGGGATTCTCCCATATTTTAATATGGGAGTTTTATCCGGCTATCATCCCGTAAAGGTATTTTACCGCATTTTTCCTGTTTTTTTTTGTCTTTCTATGAAGGGTGGCAATAAACATTAAACAGCCGATCCTCCCTATACGCAATCCATACTGCCGAACCACCAGGGGCCACCGCTTGCTCTTAGACATGAATCTGCTCTTTGCCTTTTTTTTTTTTTTATTTAGGCATGAAAACACTATAAAATAATTATAGAAACGACAGGATTCCCTTCCTGTCCATTACAGGTGCCATCGCCCCTCCTATGCACCAGAGTAACTGGCAGGGGCCACTTGTACTTTTAGGGGGCACACTTTAACATACATCACAAACTACTTAAACAAATATTTGAAGTAAATTTTATTTATGCATCACTCTGCAGTTTTCATAAACAAGATAATTAAATAATTTAAACTCAAAATAATCTTCAATGTTAATATATTTGACAAGTAACTTTGTATGGTAGTGGATAAAACAATTCTAACAGTCAAGTACATCATCACACATTTTTTGCATCTGTAAACTTTTACAGATACAGTTGAAGTCCTTTTTTTCCCTCCCATTAATTTAAAACAATGTTTCCCAAGTGATCTTTACCAAACCAAGGAGAATTTCACAGTATTTCCAATAAAACAGAAAATAATTATTCAGGAGTCTAAACAAGTCTTTTTTTCTCATAGTTTATATCTTGAATAAAAGCAGTTTTTAATATATATATATATATATAGGGTCAGTGTTTTTAACCTCCTTAAGAAATATTTACTGTATATTTTTTGATTGTCTACACAATAAACTAGTTATACAATAACTTACTTGACTCATTATTCTGAATTTCCTAGTTACATAAGTCTTTAAATTACACTTAAATATGAATCAATATACAATACATAAAGAGGCTTGTCTGATTACAACTATCCTGCAAAATAACTAGTAAATATTATGCACTGATGGTCATCATGAAAAAGATAAAAAGTAGTTATTAGAAATTAGTTAAACTATTATGTTTTAAATCGTGTTGTAAAGAGATCATGTGTCTGAAGATTCCTGCTTTTACGACTGAAATAAAGACGAATAAAGGCAAAACTAAATATTAGTCGAATATTTCTTTTACATGACTGTGACTGTAAATTTGATCAATGTGTTACATATGTTCCTCGGTACTTGCCGGGTGTTTGTAGGTTCAAGACTGCATTTGCTAATGTAAAACTAAGTACACGCAATTTCTGATTAATAATAGCCACTACATAGCAGAGTACTTTCTATATTAAAAGTTTTAAAATCACTATTAAAAACAAAAGTCAATCAACAGTGGACATTTTGAAAGCGGAGTGAAAGTCTGGGTTTTGGGTGTGTGTTTGAATAGACATTTACACATAATTAATAATAATAACATCTAAAGATGTTGATCTTGGTGGGTTTTCTTCAAACACAACTATTTTTGTCCTAAATAAAAATAAACAGTTAGGAAAGCAATTGAATGCTTTCATTATAACATTCGATGTGAGCATTTTAAAGTAACACCTCTGTTATTTATTGTAGTCAAACGAAAAACCTCAATAACGATGAATGAGATTTGATAACTTTATTCTATTTTTTATATAAGCTATTCATTTTAATAAGCTAAACTCTTTGCTAATTTATTTGCTGTTAATGTATACTACTGTATTTATTTCCTTTTGTAAATAATAATAAAACATACTGACTGTTAAAATGCTTGTTTACAATGAAATAGCTCCAGAAGAACAGATTAGGCGCTGTAGCTCCCTCCAGCAACAAACGAGCAAGAGTCTATGATTTCTACTGACTGGTTTATTTTCATAGCAAGTCTTCAGTTCTCAACATAGAGCAAACCACAAGACATCAGGGGTGTACCAGACGTAAGAACTAAAAAACATACAACAATGAATTACAACAGTGCATTTCCATATCAAATTAATCCAAATCACCACATTATGGTCACACATAACACTGGATCACATAATCTTAACTAATACAATTTAACTTTATAAATAGCACCGCTCATAAACAAACAGTTAAATGCACACACCAAACAAACAGCAACAACAACACCACACTTCAAATCAAACAAAACCAACAAATCATACAAAACAAACATACCTCATTGGCTGGTTACGGAAGGGAGAAACTCAAGAAAAGCATAAGCATTCCTTAGCTTGTTGAATGCTTGGAAGTGAATGCATTGGTCTCTCTACTCACAGTGGTGCATCATTTTTATAGTTCCCCCTGAAATTAGCTCCGCCTTAATTAGTTCCTAGGTGAACTGGCATAAGATCTTAAACACACATGACATCTGCTACACTCCCACCAAATCACTTGTGATTTTTTCCTGTTTTATAAATCACACTTAAACACAATTATGAAAAATAATGCAACCCATGGAGTGATAGTGTGAAATCAAGCAGTCTTCAATCAGCTTCAAGAAGAATGACTACCTTCTGTATTGGACGCTCAAGGTAACTTGGTTTAGACAATCGCTTACCCTTTCCATCAAGCGAAGAGTCACTCATTAACAACTTGACTTGTCTCACTTTGCCATCCTTTCCTTGGTACACGTCTACCACCTTTGCCAATTTCCACTTGTTACGTGGTGAAACATCATCTTTAAGGATTACTATGTCATTCACTTTAACATTCCTGCGATTCTTATTCCATTTCTGTCTTTGCTGAAGATTTAAAAGGTACTCTTTTCTCCAGCGCGACCAGAAGTTGTTGACTAAATACTGCACTTTGCGCCATCGTTTACGGAGATAAAGATCTTCTTTGACAAACTCTCCAGGTGGTGGTTCCACAATCATAGACTTCATTGTCAAGATGTGATTTGGGGTAAGAGGTTCTGGACCTAGAGGGTCATTCAAATGCTCAACAGTCAAAGGCCTGCTATTCACAATAGCCATAACCTCATACAACAGAGTTCGCAGGGAAGTACTGTCAAGTGCCCCAGGACATTGGTCAAGAACAGAAGTCAAAACATTTCTTACGGTACGGATCTGTCTTTCCCAGACACCTCCCATATGACTTGCTGATGGAATGTTCATGATCAACTCGCAGCCAAGTTTCTTTATCTGCCCTTGATCCATTGTTTTCAATGTGCTCATAAATTCTCTGCTTGCCCCCACAAAGTTCGTACCCTGATCACATCGAATTTGGCGAACTGTTCCACGAATGGCTATAAAGGAGCGGAGAGCATTAATAAATGCATCAGTAGACAGAGCATCAAGCATTTCAATGTGTATGGCTCTGGAACACATACAAGTCAACAATAACCCATAGCGTTTGAGTTGCCTTCTACCATCGGTAACATAAAAAGGTCCAAAACAATCCATTCCACACAATAGAAAAGGTGGAGTTGGCTGCACACGATCTTCAGGAAGATCAGCCATTTTCTGTTCTTCTACACACCTTCTAAATTTCCTACATTTCAGGCATTTGTATATGTGAGAAGAAACAGCACTACTGCATCCAAGAATCCATATACCATTGGACCGAAGTTCATTCACGGTCATTCCTCGCCCTTGATGTTGTACTCGTTCGTGATAATGTTTGATTAGTAATGCTGAGAAATGATTTTTCCTTGGAAGAATGGCAGGATATTTTACGTCTAAATGAAGAGTTGCATTTGCCAAGCGACCTCCAACTCGCAGTATGCCTTGATTATCCAGGAAAGGACTTAACTTGTACAACTGGCTTTTGGTTTGAGCATCAGATGTAAATGCTAGTTGTTTCTTGAGACTCGTCATTTCATGGGAAAAGGTTGCTTCTTGAACTAACCGAATGATAAAGAGCTCAGCATCTTTCCTTTGCTCCAAAGTAGTAGGTTCAAAAGCTTTGGATTCAAAACCTTTAGCTTCTCTTACATACCGTTTAAGTCTGGCAATGGCCTTCACCATCCTTGCCCAGTCCGAGAATTTGAGAAGACGTTCTAACAATGATTTTTCTTTATTTGCTTGGATATTGAAAACTTGAACCTTTCGAAGCTCTGGATCATTACTTGTGATCACATCTCCCACCTTAACTTCATCACTGGGAAGATCTTTCTGCCACAAGAATTTTGGTCCCTTGAGCCAACTTGACGCCACTAGTTGTTCAACCATCAAACCTCTAGAAGCAGAATCTGCAGGATTGTCTTCAGTGCCTACATATTTCCATTGATTCGATTCAGTACTCAACTTGATACGTTGAACACGATTAGCTACAAAAACTTGGAATCTCCTAGCATCATTGTTGATGTATCCCAGAACTACCTTAGAATCAATCCAGAAACATTCCTGTAAATCCTTAATGTCCAATTCTTTCTTCAGCATATCACTGACCCGTACAGCGACCACTGCAGCTGAAAGTTCTAGTCTTGGAATAGTAGTTATTTTTGTTGGTGCAACTCGTGACTTTCCCATGACGAAAGAGCAATGAACCTCACCTGATGCACTGACTGTTCGAAGATAGGAGCATTCCCCATATCCTGAGATGCTAGCATCAGAGAAATGATGGAGTTCAAAACGAATGGCTTCGTTACTTATCTGTGGAACATAACATCGTGGGATCTTCACATCAGCTAAATTTGGCAGATCTAAAAGCCAACGTTCCCATCGAGATTGCAAGTCTTCAGGCAATGAATCGTCCCAACTAGCCTTGTTGTAGCACAGCTGTTGTAGGATCTTCTTGCCCACCAAAATGAATGGTGCCATAAATCCAAGTGGATCAAACACAGATGCTATCGTTGACAACACTCCTCTGCGAGTAAATGGATGTTCCTTTACAATGACTCTAAACTGGAATTCATCAGATGCAATTGACCATTGAACACCAAGTGCTCTCTCCACATACATCTCACCCAGATCCAGATCCAAATCCTTTACTCCTTTAGCAAGATCCTCTTGAGGAATTGAAGCGATAACATTCTTACTGTTGGAAATGAACTTGTGAAGTCGAAGTTTCCCAGTGCTACAGAGTTTCTTAGCTTCAGTCACAAGGGCAATTGCTTCAGCTTCAGTTGGAACACTTACTAATCCATCATCAACGTAAAAGTTCCTTTGGATGAACCTAATAACATCTTCAGTGAACATTCCTTTTCCTTCAGCAGCAAGATGTTTAAGACCATAATTTGCACAACCTGGGGAAGAAGCTGCACCAAATAAATGAACTTTCATTTTATACACTGAGGGTTGAGCTTCCAAATTGCCGTTGTCCCACCATAAGAATCGAAGATAATCTCGGTCCTCTGCTTTGACATGAAACTGATGAAACATGCGTTCTATGTCACACATAATGGCAACTGGATTTTTCCTGAAACGACACAAGACACCCACTAGAGTATTTGTCAGCTCTGGGCCTGTCAAAAGATGGTCATTTAAAGAAGTTCCTTGAAACCTTGCAGAACAATCAAAAACAACTCTAATTTTTCCAGGCTTTTTTGGATGATACACTCCATGATGAGGAATGTACCATGCTGAACATTTCTCAGCTTCTTCAGGTGGAACCTTCTCAGCATCTCCACAGGCAATGATTTCATTCATGAAAGCAGTATAATCACTGTAATACTGCATATCCTTCTTAAATCTTCTTGCCAAACATTTGAGACGATATACTGCACAGACTTTATTGTTTGGCAAGTTAGGCCTGTCACCTTTAAATGGTAGTGGCATCTCATAATGTCCAGCCTTATTTAATGATGTACCTGCTTTCATTTTCCCTAGGAATCGAAGATCCTCTTGAGACATACAGCAATCCTCAGATTCTTGCTCACAAAAATCAGATTCAAACACCCTGATGACATCTATTGGAGAAACCACTTCTTTGATTTGTGTTCGACAGACATAGTGCACCTTCGTTTTGAGATTGACAGAAGCAGGTATACTTGGCATTACTTGCCTCACAATAATCTGATGACTTGTTCCATAAATATCGCCAGAGTCAACACATGGATTACCATGACCAATTACACTCCATCCCAAATCGGTCCTCTGTGCAAAAGGTTGATTTCCTTCACCAGCCACCACCTCTCGTGGAAGAAGAGCCTGTGGACAGTTGTATCCAATTAATAAGCCAACATCACAACCTTGTCGAGGAGCAAGGACATCTGCAATATGTTCAAGATGAGGCCATACTCTTGCTGTTTGTGGTGTAGGAATGTGATCTTTGCTGGCAGGAACAAACTCTCTTGAATAGGTTGTTGGCAGAGGAATCCTAGTTTTCGAATAAAACCCTCTAACTTGAAGACCCTTCATTTTAAAACAAGGAACGACTGTAATCTTTGAAGCCATAGTTGCAAGTTTCAATTGAACTGCTTCCTTCTTAACATTCAATGCATGTGTAGTCTCTTCAAGAATAAAGGTTGTATCACTTTGTGTATCAAGGAGAGCATATACTAGAACCTCTTTTTCTGGTTCAGATGTTGTAGACACCCATACAGGTATAATAGAAGAAGTGCAGGTATTATTAATTTCTTGCATTACCTGGTTCGAAGTTGCCTCATTTAGAACTCTTGTGTGTCTATGCTGATAAAGATCTGTACTCTTCTTAAAGCTTTCAGTCACCCCATGATTTCCAACACTCCTTGAACGATCTTCATGAAGACAGGTAGGATGGTTTTTTGCACAAATGTCACAGACACTTCTGTTTTGACAAATCCTTGATTGATGTCCAGGCTTCAAACATCCAAAGCATAACATCTTCTTATAGACAAACTTGTGTCGTTCAACAACTGTCTTCTCCATGAACTTATGACATTTATGAAGACTATGATCATTTTTTTGACAAAAAACACAACTCACCAAGACGAGGTTGTCTCCACCAGAATTAGTCGCCAACACCTTTCCCACAGAGCTTCGAGTCTTCAACGTCCTTGTTCCTTCTTTATCGCTTGATTTCAGAGCATAAAGTGATGTTATAGGATTGCACACAATCTTGGCTTCCTTTGTGAGGAACTTAACAAATTGGCTGAAACTTGGAAAGGTTTTAGTATTTTCTTCAGTTTCCATCACCTCTCTATTCCATCTTGAAGTTAACCAATCAGGCAGCTTGGCAAGAATTTTTTGGTTCTCATTACAATCATTTAACACTTCAAGTTCTTTAATTTGAGGAATGGCAGCCTCACAACTACGAAGGAAATCTACAAACTCTTGTAGTTCCAAACTTTCCTTGGGACCAATCTTTGGCCAAGCATAAAGCTTCTCTCGAAATGATTTGGCTATAAGAAATGGATTTCCATATCTTTCTTCCAAAATCTTCCAAGCTGAACAATAAGCCGAATCTGTTCCAAGAAGAAAATGGCCTTCAAGAGCCTTTTTGACAGAATCTCCTACATACCTCCGTAGATAGAAAATCTTCTCCACTGCAGGAATGGATTTCTTCTCTATTAACATTTGAAAGGACGTTTTCCAATCATTGAACTTAAGTGGATCCCCATTAAAAACCATTGGTTCTGGCACAGGAAGTCGATTGACACTCATAGATTCAGTCAAAGCCTTGACAAGAGAAGTATTATCTATTTGTGGAGTTGTCACTGTTGGCTGTAAAGTGACATTTTTTGTTGACAAATTATCAGGTCTGTGGTGTCTTTTATCCACATGGATTTCTTTAAATTCACAGTCATGAGACAAGTCACTCAAAAGTTCATCATCTTCTGAAACTTCACTCTGTTCATATATCTGCATACGTGCTTTAGCTGCATTTAACTTCTTAACTGTCTCCAAACGTTCCAGTTCGCGGCGTTTATCTTCTAATAACTTACGTCTAGCTGCATTTTCCACCTCGTGCTGAGCTTTCACCTTAGCCTCTTCTTCACGGCGCTTCAAATCATCAGCTTCTTGTTCAGCTATACGCTTCTTATCTTCAGCTTCAAGCTTCTGAAGTTCCTTAAACTGACGATCCTGTTCCTTTAAGACTTCTAAAGTGGCTTCATTAGCAGCAACCTCAGCAGCAGCTTCTTGTTTTTTGGCAGCAGATAAACTTGAAAACTTAGAAGATCTTGACTTACTTTGAGACGATGTAGATGTTCTAGAAATCCTTGTGCCGACACTGACCTCTTCAGATAACTCAATGTCACTCCATCCAGACTCCATTTCCTTATTCCCTTCGAAATAATGCTTCACCAAAACCTCCATTTTCTTTGTGACTGCTTCACAATGGTCTACTCGGCGGCGTGTATCATGGTCAGGAATACTCAAATGGCGTAGATCTTCATACCCAGTGCCTACAACTGCAGAAGCCTTTGTCATTCTTGCCATAACATCTTGTAATGATTCAATTGAAGAAGACTCAGATAATAACCACTTTACTTCTTTGACAAGAGATTTCCATTTATCATAACTGACCTTGAATCTCTGTTCATACCTTTCCAACTTCTCTTCTTGCAACTTCTGACCCTTTTCAGTCAGCTTACGAGTCCTCTTTCCTCTTCGTAGCTCAGTCTCCACAGCATCAGAAGTTTCCGTTGCCACCTTACTTCTCACTGAGGGCTGAGTTGCAAGTTGCTGATTCACTCTATCATCCATGGGCCGCTCACCTAAATCTGACATTGTTCAAACTTCTCCTTTTTCACTTCTAAAATCCTTTTCTTTATTATTTATTCCTTAATTTAAAGTTAAGACCATAAATCATGCCTTAATTTGATTAAACACTGAAAGTGAAATTTACCCTTATTTCACAGCAATAGAAACAGGCAGTTAAACAGTACTTAATTTACATACAAGTCAATAATAAACCACCAACATTTTGAAAGGAACATGACAATATTAAACAATACTTAAAGTCTTTGCAGTCATTAACCACAGTTAGGTACCTTTAATCACACTTAACTGCACCACTCTTACTGCTGGTCTTGACTTGTGCTGCTCTTCAAGTTATGCTTGCGTCTCCATATTACACCGGCAATGTCCTTTCCTTCTGATATTGCTGAACCATGTATAATTTCACTTCGTTGCTTTGCACAACAGAACACTTGACTGAGTTCATTGGTTAAATTGTCCTGCTTCTTCTTTCATACTCGCAATGAGCCTTGAGTTCTTACTGTAGCTCCCTCCAGCAACAAACGAGCAAGAGTCTATGATTTCTACTGACTGGTTTATTTTCATAGCAAGTCTTCAGTTCTCAACATAGAGCAAACCACAAGACATCAGGGGTGTACCAGACGTAAGAACTAAAAAACATACAACAATGAATTACAACAGTGCATTTCCATATCAAATTAATCCAAATCACCACATTATGGTCACACATAACACTGGATCACATAATCTTAACTAATACAATTTAACTTTATAAATAGCACCGCTCATAAACAAACAGTTAAATGCACACACCAAACAAACAGCAACAACAACACCACACTTCAAATCAAACAAAACCAACAAATCATACAAAACAAACATACCTCATTGGCTGGTTACGGAAGGGAGAAACTCAAGAAAAGCATAAGCATTCCTTAGCTTGTTGAATGCTTGGAAGTGAATGCATTGGTCTCTCTACTCACAGTGGTGCATCATTTTTATAGTTCCCCCTGAAATTAGCTCCGCCTTAATTAGTTCCTAGGTGAACTGGCATAAGATCTTAAACACACATGACATCTGCTACAGGCGCTAAGCGACTAACAAACGTTTTCGCAGAGGATGACAAGCTGACAAAACATTGCTGTCACTCTGATACAAGTTTTAAATATGAAGAAAATTACAAAGCCCTGCAGTGTTGTTCTGTGTTTGTCTGAGAAATTAAGAGTTCAGTCTTACCGACATGTGTTTGCTCCATACAAGCTGAAGCTGATCGGGCAATTCTTGTCACGGGTCGTGACTCGCCGTTCATCTTAACAAACTTGTGCAAACTCAAGAAAGACAGCAAGATATGCGAGTGGCACCAAAAATGCCGCCGTCATTTGCGATCTCTTCTTGCAGAGACATGGTGCATACACTTGATTTGCTGACAAATAGGTTGCGGATCCATACTTTGGCAGTTCACGTGTCCTTCACTGGGCCTTTTCACCTTAGCAAAAAAACTTTCCAAAGGTGTCTATTTTTCACTCATTTTGCTGCTTGTGGGTGAAATTAGGGCTCTCAAGTGAACGATATGTAAGCGAGAGAATTAATTATTTCAAAATAAAAGACTTTTCAAAATAAAAGATCGTTCAGACTCACTATTATTGATTTCTTGTGCGGCCCGGTGGTTGAGGACCACTGCCTTAAACAATCGAAAAAAAATTTTTTTTGCTTAAGAGCTAATCATTTTGACACTAAAAAGGTTTTTAAAAAACACTTTTAGTCAAGCTGAAATAAAACAAATAAGACTTTCTCCAGAAAAAAAATATTACAGGAAATACTATAAAAATGTCCTTGCTCTGGACAAAATTATTTGGGATATATATATATATATATATATATATATATATATATATATATATATATATATATATATATATATATATATATATATATATATATATATATATAAAACGATTCACAGAAGGGCTAAAAATTTACTTCAACTGTATACAGTATTACGATCTGATTAATTTCACAACACTGTCAACTCTATTTGGAAACACTTCAAAGTTTTAGAATAATTGGGATAAGTTTGCAGGTTTATAAATCATGCATAAAATATTTTAAATACAACAGAGCAAAGATACACTGTAAAAAATGCAGGGTCCACACAATTAATTCATGTTGTTCTAACACAAATTGATTAAGTTAACTTAACACTTTTAAAAAATGTATATGGATTAAAGAAAAAAATTAAGTTGTCCCAATGAAATCTCAAGAAATGTGTTGTTTCAGCTAATTTTAAATACGTTGTTTGAACAAGCAAAAAATATATATTTTATATATATATATATATATATATATATATATATATATATATATATATATATATATATATATATATATATATATATATATATATATATTTTACAAAATGAACCATGTTTTTCGCTTTACTGTGGAATCTGACAGTACTCAGGTAGAAATTCAATTATCATATGTAAAATTACACTGTATAGTCTACATTGTATAAATACATTGAAATTAATAAATTAATTAATCTTATTTTCATTCCACCGTAAATGCAATAACTGATTTAAGTATTTATATGCATTATAAATTATATGATTTTTATAGATATATTTTTATTTTATTTTTAATTGTATGAAGTTTTTATACGATTGGGCTTTATGGTGGTGCAGTGGGTTGCACGTTCGCCTCCCAGCAAAAAGGTTGCTGCTTCGACCCCCGGCTGGGTCAGTTGGCATTTCTGCGTGTTTATGTGGGTTTCCTCCAGGTGCTCTGATTTCCCCAACAGTCCAAAGACATTCGGTACAGGTGAATTGGGTAAGCTAAATTGGCCATAGTGTATGTGTGTGAATGCAAAAGTGTATGGGTGTTTCCCAGTGTTGAGTTGCAGCTGGATACACTATGTAAAACATAAGCTGGATAAGTTGGCGGAAAAGCCGAAAAGAAAACAAACAAATGAATTATATTATTTTTTTCATTGAAAAGTTGGTTTAAGATTTAAATTATACCAATTTTAAATTCACACTCTCAAAAATACTTTTGCTCTTTGTTTAAACTAATAAACTACATAAAATTCTTAAGGCTTATTTTGGGCACAACTTAATTGTTTTAGGTTCAATCCATTAAAATGGGCTTCTTTGTCAAAGCTTCATACGTGTGGAAATTTGCTTGAAATCTTACACATTTACAGCTCTTAAAAACACATTTAAAGAAAAATATTTCATTGGTACGGTCAAACTTTGCGACAACTTCAATAATCCTAACTCAAAATTGCAGATCCTGCGATGTGACTATTGCAGATTTGTACATCGATGCTCAAACTATCTATTGTGCAGCCCTACACTGTACTTCCAGATTCAGGTCCAAAGTGTCACTTATAGCACAAGTGCAAGGCAACAACATGAAGCTCAAAGGCGCCGCGGTTCAAAGTACCTCCTCCTCTCGAACGCTGCACCACAGGACAGCTGACAGGAAGATGACACTTGTTTCTTTCTGGAGTTCAGGTTAGACAAAGCACAATTCACTGCAAACACTCATCGGGGACTCAATCACTGCAGTCAGTGGGGGAGCGGAAAGTTTAACACACAATGAGGGTGAACGGATCAATTTGTCAGGAAGAAGCAAGGTTATATTTCATATACCAAAAAGATCAAAGAAGGGAAAAATATACAAAATATATTTGTTTTTATTATGTTTAATATTAATTTGTTTTTGTTTTTTAAACAACTGAATTATTTTATGTTTAATCCACCTAAATGTGTAAAAACAATGTTTTATGTAATTAAGTTAATTTAATTGATTTGTGTTGGGAAAACATGAATGAATTTTGTTCAAACTACTTATTTAAAATGAGCCAAGGCAACACAATTATTGAGATTTAATTCCCACAACTTACATTTTTATGTTCAATCCTCTTAAATTTGTTAAATCTGTAAAGTTTACTTAATCGATTTGTGTTGGGTCAAAATGAATAAATTGTGTGGAACCCTGCATTTTGTTTAAACTACTTATTTAAATTAAGCTGAAATGACACAATTATTGAAACTTCATTCGGACAATAAAATTTTTATCTGTTCAATCCTCACACAATGAATTGTGTGTAACCCTGCATTTGTATGATGTGCAACTGTAAAAAATGCAGGGTTCCTCATAATCGATTTGTGTTGGGACGACATAAAAGAATTACGTAATTTGTTTTAAAATATATTGAACACAAAAAACTAAGTTGTCCCTCCAAAAAAACTCAAGAATTGTGTTGTTTCAGCTCAATTTAAAAAAGTAGTTTGAACAAACAGCAAAATGTAATTGTGTAAAGAGTGCACAGTGCTCCGCATAAATGAGCACACTTCCTTTAAAAATGAACATTTTTATCCATTTCTCAGTGAATTCAGTCAACATATTTTGTTGTATTTAAACAAAACAGTTTTATTAAACCGTTATATCCATTAAGATAAAAAGTTTGGTCACTGAACATCTTTAGAGAGAGAAATATAGTATATTTAAATTCAAATGAGTTACTGCAAAATAACTACAACATTTCATTTACAAAATTTCACTTGATTTTTCTTGTTTGTTAACATTTTATTTAACTATTTCCCCCCAACATATTAAATTGGGTGTACTATTTTATTTTATTTTTTTAGATTAGTTCTGGTTTTGGCTTTGGTACTGAGTCTGACTAATTTAATGTATATGTACAAATATATTATTGTAGAGCATCTGATAGAAAATATCCATTTAAAAAAAAGAGATCTGCGAAAGGTGTACTCATTTATGCTGAGCACTGCATATCAGAAAATATTTTAGATGATTTTTTTGTGATAATAATTTTCTAAAATTTAAATTTTCTTAAACAATTGTAATAATTAATTTAGTTTTTGCACTGCAACATTTTAATGATAAATAAAATGATGATGATAATGATAATAAAATAACAATTAAAATAATAAATAAATAAATAACACTGTAAGTCACAATAACTTTAAGCAAAAATGTCATATTTTGGTGACACTTCCTGAAAATTCTCAAGATAGCACTATATACTATTTGCACAGCCATTTGAAAACTACAGTAAAGTTAGACATCACTGCCTTTAGTGAGGTATCTGAATACAAGACACTGAATATGTATGTTTCACATTTTTACTGCATTTGCTCTTTGCAATTCTAATTTATTTACAGCATTGTGCAAAGGAATAAATACACCCTTATTTACAACAAACATAAACTCCCTTTAGGTAGAGCTGCGCACAACTGTAAACAATATTGCAGAACATTTTGGAACTGAACCTACAACATACACAGGTCTGTAAATCATTCATGAAACTGTTCAATTTTTAAGACATTTTCAGGAAAATTAAGATAAATTTTTCTTTATAAAATTTGCTTGACAGATTTTGTCAACTAGTTCAACATTTTTGTGTGTAATGACTCGAGTAATGAAATACTAATTACTATTAGTTTTATATGGACTGACTATTCAGCATTCACAAGTTTAATTAATTTTGACTGACATGACATAAGCAAATGATAATGTTATAAACAGCAGAGAGTTGTATGAAAGCAATTGATGCATGTCCAAAAGCATTTGCAATTTGTTGGAAGGAATGAGAAACTGCTACTATGATGTGCACAAATGACTAATTGTTTTGAGTAATGCATTAACTGTTGTGCAAACGTAAACAGTGTTGTGAGAAATGCACCAAAGCCACAGAGAAAAACTGTAAATGAATAGAACAAGTGGTTTAGAAAATGTATAATAATAACCATATACTGTATTTTTAGTATTATTGTTAGAACTAATAACTGATTGACTGTTGAAATAATAAAAAAATATAAAATGTCAATATTTGGTGGGATAACGGAGAAACTTTTCTCTGTAATTGCCATTAAAATATATATTTAAAGTTTAAGAGAAATGTTAGCAGAATGTTTTATTATATAAAGCAAATACTAATATTTTAAACAAATCCAAATCATTTTTAATTATATAATTTTACATTATTGCTACTCTTATAACATGAACAGATTTATGAATAGGCCTAATGAGAAATTAAGACAATATGAATGATACCAATAAAATAAAT